TAATTTAAATTCAATCATTAAAATTCTTATTTATTTTGTTTGGTTTTTCTCTACTAAAAAATTTTATTTACGATCAATAATAATAATAATAATAATAATAATAATAATGGATATGTACGTTTTAATAAATTTGTGTTAGTAAAAGAAAAAAAAGGCATTATTATTATTATTATTAAAACAACAAAAGTGTAAAAAACGTAATAATTCATTTCATAAATTCATTCATTCATTCATTCATTTCTCTCTCTCTCTCTCGAATCAGTAACGTAAATAGAATCTATTTTCCCTTACTACTACGTGTCAGATATCTTTTTATATTTAATGCTCTCTCTCTTTCTCTCTCTCACCCTCTTCGTCCCCCGCTCCCGCCCCCCCCCCCATTTTTTTTGAAAAATGTGCCACATTTACGGGTTTTTAATGTTTTTTTTTTTTTTTTTTTTTAAAAAAGAAATTTCAATCATTTCCTCCAGACAAGTTTCAACAAGCAACGGTCGTAATTATAAATTTAAAACAAAATTTTTTTCAAAATTTTTGGGGATAACGAAATTTTAGGTGTAAATTAATAATAATGATGATGATAGTGATAATAATAATAATAATAAAATATATAACTTACCTGAATCGTTTCCGCGGCGGAATATTTTCTCGTTGTATTATCGTTTTGTTGCATTTCACCTTTTCGGTACGATTTCCATCAGGAAAAATATGATATTATTATTATTATTATTACGAACCTGTCGAGTAAAAAAAAAAAAATAATAATAATAATTATTACATTGACAATCAATTTTTTTTTTTTTTTACAATGCGACAAAAAAAAGGTTTTAGGAATGGATAAAAAAATGGAAATGGTTTCTAATAAAAAAAGAAAAAAAGTTGGAAAATGATGATGATGATGATGATGATGATGATCACGACGACGTCGTCGACGACTCGTTAGCTTTGTATTTTGAAAATGTAAAAAGAAAAAGAGAGAGAGAGAGAAGAAGAAAATGTGCTTTGAATACAAATTTTCAAAGTTTTTCCTTTTCATTCCCACCAATCCCATTCTTTTACATTTTTTCTTTTCTTTTCCTTTTTTTTTCTCTTACAATTTTCTACGTAGATAAAATCAACGACGGTGACAAAATTTTATTTACATGATGATAATAATAATAAAAAAAATAACTCTCCTCCCCCCCCCCCAATAAGTATAAAATAAAATTTAAAAAAAATTTCATATTTTTTTTTCGTCTAATTAGTCAAAGATATATATATTTATTTCGGTTTCCGGTTTTAATCCAAAAAAAAAAAAAAAAAAAAAAAAAAACAGATGAAATTTTATCATTAATCTCTCTCTCTCTCTCTCTTTTTTTTTCCATGCAAACAAAATCTCATGTCGGATGATGATAATGATAATGACGAAGGGTAAGTGAAATGTTTATTTTTTTTTTTTGAAAATTTTTAACATTAAACTTTGCCCCCCCCCCTGTATTTTTTTTTGTTTATACCTTACACGTGTTCTGAAGTTTTAAAAAAAATCGTACTAATAATAATAATAATAACTTTCACATTTATATTTATTTAAACATTTAACGACATAAAACGTTTTACGAATTTAATAATAAAATGGCCAAAAAGAAATTCAAACAAACAAACCAAAAAAAAATAAAAATAAATAAATAAATTTTAAACAATTTATTTATAATAATAAATAAATAAATAAATAAATGAATAAATGAATACATAAATAAAAGCAAAACTTTTTTACATTTTTAATTTATTTATTAATTTTTTTTTGTTTAAATAATAAATGCACGAATTTGAATTTATAATAAGTTTCATAATTAATATTTCCGTTGCAATAAATTACGTCGACGTGACATAAGTTAATAAATAAATAAATAAATAAATTTTACTTACTTTTTAATTATTTTTTTAAAAAATCCTCGACACGCGATCCGCGTAATTAATATTTTAATTATTTAATTAATTAATAACAATTTAAATCAAATATTTTATTTAAAAAAAAAATTTTTTTTTTGTGTTTTTAAACATAGTAAATGCATTTTAACTATCGCGGATTATTATTATTATTATTATTCTACATCCTGAAAATGAGTCACGTAAATCACATTGACGTGTTGACGAGTTGACGTTGACGACTACAATGACGTCGATGCCCGTTTGCAAAATCAAAAAAAAAAAAAAATTTTTTCTTTTATTTTACAATTTTTAATCCGCCAATGATAAACCTATCTACCAACATTTTATTACCACGCGTTTATTAATTATTATTATTATTATTAAATAAAATTACCATCGCTTAGGAAAAGTTGGGAGTGGGGGGGACTTGATAAATTTCAAGTCGGAAAAAATTTTTTGTTAATTTAAAACAAAACAACACGACACGAAACTCGCGACACATAAAATACCGAATTCGTCGAAATAACCGGAAACGGCCGACGGCGTGTCACAACATGCAAAATATTCCATAAATTTAAAAAAAAAAAATTTAAACAGGAAACGATGACAAAACAACCGGAACGAAAAGGAGAGAGAGAGAGAGAGAGAGAGAGAGAAAAAAAAATTAAAAATTAAAAAATTTTTGTTAAAAAAAAAAAATATTATTCGGGGGGAAAAAAATTTTTTTTTTTTTTTTTTTCGTTCCGTTTAATGTGGGAGCCGATGTTCTACTGAAGCTACGTCGGCTCTGTTATCGACTTCACGGTCCCCCCCAATATGAGAAAACTTGAGGAGATTCGAGGAGGGGATGCGAATAAAAACAGGCAGGGTTGTTTAACGCAAAATACAAAAAAAAAAAAATCATCCAGAAAATTTTTTTTTTTTTTTTTTTTTATTCGACTACGACGACGTTTTTAAAACGTACCTGAAAAATTTCTCGATTCCCGTTTTGTCAAGGTCAAAATATTAGGAATATCGTTTAAGGAATTCGTTCGATTGTTAAAATAAAAACACTTTTTTTCATCGTTTCCGGTTTAAAACAAAAATTCTAATAAATTTTATCACATGTAATCCTTTTGATAAATAGAAAAATTTTTTTTTCTAAATTTGCGGGGAGGTGGGTGGGAGAGGGGGGAGGGGGTCGTATCGTAACCCTTTACTTAATTCAATAATTTATCGTATTTTTTTTTGTTTTGTAATTAATTAAAAAAATGAAAATTTTAAAAACTAATGGCGGGAAATTTTTTTTTTTTTACCACAAACATATTTTCATTACTCCCGTTTTTTTTATAAAAAAAGATTTGCCTCCATTTGTTTGTTTATATTTAAATTTAGTAATTTTAATAAATTAATTATAATTGTTATAAGCAATTTCTGCCGTCTACGATTAATAATAATAATAATAATAATAAATTAATGAAAATGATTAATACTTACATTTTATTTAACAAAGACGACCGGCATAATATTTAAAAACGAACAAATTTTTATTTTTATTTTTATTTTTTTACATAATTTTAACACTTTTTAAAAAATTTATAAACTAATAATAATAATAATGAGGACGGACACGAACAAACTGAACGAACCTTTTCAAATCTGACAAGACAAATGACAATTAAATTAAGAGAAACGTGATTGATGGATGGTTATATACACATAGCGACACTAGCGACAAATAACATTATGTTAAAAACGTTGCGGTCAAAATTTGAAACTAATAATAATTAACTCCGACGTTTTAATTTATAATAATAAATATTATTTTTAAATAATAATAATAATAATAATAATAATGGGAAAAAATTTTAATTTTTATTATGTGTGTAAATGTTTTTTAAAAAAATAAAAAACTCATAAGATAAACATATGTGTAAACAAAAAAAGAGAAATATAATTTGAAAAAAGTATTTTTAATAACTTTTTAAGGTTAAAAATAAAATAAAATAAAATAAAATAAAATAAAATAAAATATGGCTCCTTCTTTCCTTTCTTCCTTCCTTCCTTCCTCCATATTTTTTTTTTTTTTGCTGCAGTTAATGTGTTTGTGTGTGTAAAATTTTACATTTATTTTATATGTATATGTATATGCTAAAATAAAAATTTCATAATATTTATTATTATTATTATTGAATTCTTTTTTTTTCAACCATAAACTAACTAATGAGTTTATGTCTATCGTCTACATTATGTTTAAATACAAAATATATATATTTAAATTTAAATTTAAAATAAAAAAAATTCTTTTCTCCTTAACAAACAAACAAACAAACAAACAATATCATTCATTTTTATATTTAAACTTATATCATAACACACGAGAAATAAAATTATATTAAAAAAAAAAAAAAATTCCCTAATATAAATAATTTAAAATAAAATATTTTATTGTAAACTTTCCGTATATATATAATAATAACATATTATAGAAATTATATAAAAAAACATTATTAGGTACACAGAACATAAAGTGATATATAAAATATAATACAAACGCTAAAATTATCATTGATTGACTAGGATTATAAAAAAAAAATCGAAAATTAATTAATTATTAACTTAAACTATTATTATTATTATTATTACATTACATTACATGTGATTTATCCCGGATATTACGATAAGATTATTAAAAGAGAAAAATATATATATATAAATTGAATACTTTAAAATATTATTAAATTTACTGAATATATGTAGAAAGTAATGAAGTGAGTTAAATTTTTAATATTAAAAAAAAGAAATTAATTATTAAGTCATTAAGTCAAATGTTAGGCTGTAAAATAACAAAAAAAAGTAAGCTATAAAAAATTGGCACTCAATTAAATTTAACAAAAACAAAAAAATTTCAAAATGGCCGCAAGGAAATTAATATTATAAAAGATGCCACCTACAAACAAAACCGCAAAACAAAACAAATACCTTTAAATAATTGTAAAAAAAAAAACAAAAAAAACCTTGAACACATTGAAAACCCATTTACCCTTTTTCATAACCAAACAAAAACAGAAAATTATTTTAAATAAAGATTATTAATAATAATAATAATAATAAATTTATTGTCCGACGTCTTTGCTAAACAACTGTAGTTTTTCAATTGATAAACTCAATTGCTCTAAACTTCCCATTAATTTTTTCATATTTTCTTGATTTGCACGAAGGCCTTCGTTACTAAGAGGAGCAAAAAGGTCATGTTGAGCACCTAAATCGAAATGAAGTCTTGCCAAACGTTCCTGTTGTTCTCTTATTCCTTGCATTTGCTCCATGCTACAATCTTTTGCTATTAAATAATAATCCAAGATGAACGATAAATACCTTTTTATAAATATTAATGTGATTACGACAAGTGGTCTAGCACTGGGACAATCAATCAATCACTCACCGAAAGCTCTTAATTTTCCAGAATGAAAGTCTTCCAATAATTGTAATAGAGCATTTTCCATTTGTCTCACATCTGTAATATCTGACATAAAACAATGATGTTGAACATTTTTTTGATTTTTATTATTCCATAAAGATTTCATGTAAGCTGTAGACCCTACAGTTTTCATATTTAAAAAACCTGATCGAGCTGATTTAGTATTATTTAAATGATCAGAACTTAGAGTGTGATTCGAATCAAAATACCAATCAGTGGGTATCATGGGTTTACTTTTATCAGCTCTTATTAATGATTCAATAGATGCTTTCGTTATGGATGTATTATCAGACTCTGAAGGTAAGGCTTTTGTTGTGACTTGCGAAGACAAGTCACTATCGAAAAGGCTACTGTCTGTTTGTATGTCATCAATTTTATGATCAAATAATTCCAAATTTGAGGGATCACGCCACCCAGAGGGACTAGGTGTGTTTGGAGGCACACTCGGAAGAATTTGCTCGGCAAAAACATTGAGGTTAAGGTCTAAAAAAAAAAAAAGAAAAAGAAAAAAAAAAGAAGAAAAATAAATAAATAAATAAATAAAAAAAACAAAAATTAAAACAAAATCAAATTAAAATTAATTAATAAATGTAAACGAAATAAAAATATTTTCAAAAAAAATAAAATAAAATATTAAAATCAAACAAATAAAATAAAATTTAAAAAAAAAATAAAAATGTTTTGTAAGGTGTTATCTCAGGAGGTTATTTATGCATTTACCACTCATATCGTTCACTTTCAAATTGTTTTTTTTTTTAAACGATTTACAATGGAACAAAAAAATATACATTATCATTTCATAATCGCATTGCTGTCAACTTAAAATTATTACCTTTTTTCATGTTTCCTACTCTTTGATTAGGTGATTTGTTGTTGTCTCTAGGTGTTTTACATCCAAAGTCAGACAAGAATGAAGGTCTCCTGAATTTTTCTTTCACATACAAAAATTTAGAACTTCCTTAAAAATACATTCATCACATTATAAAATTTAATAATGTGTATAACAAACACATCATCTCTTCAATTGATATGTATTACCAGTATGTGGATCGACAGGAGTTAAGGTTGGATCCAATAATCTGGTTCTAGATGAGCCTTGACTAGTTCCTGCTGTTCCCTGGTAACTATCATTACTTGAAATTTTATTACTTGTTGGCGAAGATGGCGTCACTGCTACTTTATATATAACTGGAAAATTAGGTTCCAATAATCTAGTACTTTCCGAAGCATCTGTATTTGAATAATCTTTATTCGGTGGCAATATTGGTAATTCATCAATATTTTCTGTCATTTTATTAAAAAATTCATATAAGCTTTTATAAAAAATTTTTTTTCAATTTATAACAAAAAAAAAAAAATGTAAAAAATTTTATATTATTAAAATTAACTAATTTATTAATGTAACATTTTATTATAATACATATTTATTCAGTCATGTTTTCCAATACGAATACATTTTTAAAAAATTTTGGCTAAGTTTCGAGATCATTTTATTATAATTAGATCATATAAATTGCACGTACAGTGTTTTTTTAAAATATATATATCGATTTGTATTGACGTGTCAATAAAAAAGACGTGCGACTATCGAAACTAACCACGTTTAAAAAAAGGCGCGCTTTTTTCAAAACAAATTTAAACGTAAAAAATACATAAACATATAATATCACAGTAAGGAAAATTTAAAAAAAAACCAATTTCATTCACATTTACTATATAAATTTATTAGAAATATTATACATACGATAAATCTAAAATATTAAAAACAGTAATCAAAAGTAAAAAAAGTAATTAAAGATATAAAAAAAAAAAAAAAAAAATTATTTTTTTTGAGCAAACATCATTTTGATGTGATTCATCATCATCATCATCATCATCAAAATGGTGGGCTTCTAATACATCTAATTATAGGTAATTATAATTCCTGTTTTATTTTTTCTTTTTAAAATGGCGTGAATGGAAATATAAAACAAAATTACATACAATAATATTATTTTATTCATTAAATAAATGAATTTCATTAAAAAAAAAAAATTTTAATACAATCCATAGTCATCATCATCATAAATTAATATGAGATTCTCATGTAGAAGACAGTATTCACACGCCATTTCCAAAAAAAAAAAAAACAAACTTTTCCAAATTTATGTATATTATTTAATATAATTACATATACACTTATAAATCTACGTACATATTAATATATATACTTAAATTAAATAATTCTTAATCAGTCTGATCATTTTACTTAGCCTTTATTGACGGCAGTACAATTTTTTTAGTGCACTTATTTATTTATTTATTTTATTTTATTTATTTTTCCTATCAGTGTAATATTTTTTTTTTTTTTTATTAACATTAATATCACACAAATTTTGACAATAATTTAATTCATTAATTAACATTAAGACAAAAAAAAAATAAGAAAGAAATTTTATTAAATCCTATTTATTATGTAAATTTTTTTTTTGTTAATAATAATACGTATCCATTTTATAATATATATATGTAAATATAAAAAATTGTTGGTTTCTACCTTACAGTGATTTATTTAATTGTTTTTTTTTAATTATCAAACACTAATAATAATGATTATTTTGTGTAATTAATAAATGTTCTATAAATATTAGACATTCATAACCTAATATATTTACCTATAAAAAAAATTTGATTAATTTATTTATTAAAGAGTCTATTTTGCGAGTAAATTATATTTTTTAAACAGAGCTTATCATTTTTTTATCATTATTTAATAATAATAATAATAATAAAAGTATATAATTTTACCTTACATCCCTATTATTATTTATCTTCTTTATAAAAAAAAAAAAAGAAAAATTCATTCTTATCGAATACTCAGTTTACAATTTTGGACCTTTGAATTTAATTATAAATGCAACTTGGGCGCGATTCCTTCATTAATTTACAAAAAAAAAAAAAAAAATTCATTTTTGTGAATGAATGATGATTATTATTATTATATAACCTCTTTTCGCTTGCATCATTTTCATTGAATCAAAATACAAAAAAAAAAAAAAAAAAAAAAATGAAAAATTCAATTATTACACTTGTGATATGCTTTTTAATATATAAAATTCACAATAATTTTCTCTTTATGGCAGTATTTAGCTTACTTACTTTCGTTCGTATAAACGTTCGAAAACATTCAGATGAACTTTAACATATTTTTACATATAATTTCCCATAAAAAAAAAAAAAAAAAACAAAAAAAGAAAATTAATTACTTACATCTAATCGGGTAGACACCACAAATGCCCAACCACATTTTTAAAACCCTTTTTTAAATAATTAAACTTCAAAAAAAAGAATTCAACAATGTTATTATGAAATATAAAATTTAAACAAAAATAACAAAAATAATTTTAACGAAAAAAAAAAAAAAAAAAAACAAAACTAAATTAATTCTTATTTCATTCGAATAAGAAATATTGACTGAAAACTAAACTATTTTTTTTTTTTTTATACCTTCAATTATTAATGTGATTAAAAGTTATGTAAAGAGTACCTCATGAGTGCAGATTTAAACATGAACTTTAGGTAATTCCAACCGTATGAGATCAAACAAATGTTTTAAGCAGTCGTTTTTTCACCAGAACTCGAATCTGATGCAATGTGATGGCAATGATATAATTTGAGCAAATCCATTGCATCCTTAGCTTGTTGCTTTTCCGCCAGAAACCTGCTGCTGGCTTCTTTAAGTGTTTCTAAAAAAACTTTACTGTAAAAAATAACTTTAATCAATTGTAAAAAATATACAAACTATTTAAATTTATAATATCATTATTTCATTTTATTTTAATTCATAACTTACTTATCTCCTGGGAAAAAATCTGCAATGCTATCCGGATCCATATCTGCCAACAATTCTAATTCTTTACCTCCTAACAATGTTATCGAAGTCAAATCTGAATGCAATCTATCGACAAGTTTTTGTAAATGTTTTGGAGGTATTCCTTCACCATCCGGTTCATCAATCACTATCTTGTATCTAAAATGTTTAAATGTATATATAACCATGCATTGATTCCATTAAAATATAATTGTTTCATAAAAAAAAAAAATTTAATAAACTCACTTGGGTAATTTTCCTGGTGGAAGCCATTTTTGATCGTTTATCAAAATCATGAGTGCTGTGTTTTTTTCTAATGTGCTAAAATAATCCTCATCCTCGACTTCGGTTCCATCTTGTTCCAGTGTAACTTTGACTGGAGTTCCCGGCACAATATTTAATTTAATGCATGCTTTTTTAATGAGATCGCTTAAATCGGATGCGACAATGCCAAATTTATGTTCCTTTGTGTAATCCATAATTTTAAAAGGTTGACCTTTTCCAGGCTGTAATGAAACATCGTCTGGGCACTGCATGGCTTCACTTGCAAATAAATTACTTTTTCAAAAGTATCTAAAAAACAAATTTGTTTTATTCTTTTAAACAATGAAATAAAATTTACAACAAAAGTTTAATTGTTAAACTTATGAAGACAATCATTAATTATAATTTCTCCAAAACTCCTCAAGTTTATGTAATTAAAAGTTTACCATATTTATAATGAAAAATTAGGAGAAAAAAAAAAAAAAGTCGAATAGTGTAAATAAGTTTTTTTCTCCCATTGTGTAAATTTTTTTTTTTTTTAAATACCAAAGAAACCTTTATTTGAATTAATTTTTTTTAAAATTATTTCGAATAATTAAAACAATTTTTGAGAGGAAGTTTTCCAAAAAAAAAAAAAAAAAAATTTTCCTTCGCTAAAATTTTAAAATAATAAAAATAATAAATAATAATAATAATAACAAATGAATAATTATATGGTAAGATGATAATAAATAAAAAATAACAAATGGATTTTAAAAGTTTTGAACAATAAAAACAAAAAAATTTTTTTTTGTTAATTTTAAAGAAAATGAAGAAAATTAAAAATTAAAAAAACACAAATATTGTACAATAAATTATAAACTTACCTGAATTTATTATATAAATAAAAACTTTTATAACCAAAACATGACAATTAATATTATTAAAAAATTTTCTCTCGTATTTTAAAATTTTTACACTAAAATTCCAACGATATTCACAGTTTGCCCGATATACCGCTAATGAGAGTTATTTTTCAACCCTTCTGTTTTTCCACCCTAAAAATCAATAGAATGGAATATGACCTAATTGCACGATTTCTCTCTCAAAAAAAAAAAATGCATCGCATTCTGCGACACCGAAAAGTAAATCCAAACAAAAAAAAAAAAAAAATTCAACGTCGACTTAAATTAAATAACGTCGTTTAAATCACGATTAATAAACTATTTCATATCAAATTAAGTTTTTTTTTTTAAATAACCATAATATAAAACAATAATTTTTTATTTTGCGCGTTTTAAAAATCAAATTAAAATCCGATATAATAATAATAATAATACGAAAAAATAAAAATAAAAAATACGATACCGATTCCTCTGGTAAGAACAGAGAGAGAACGAGCAGAAGACGACATAAATCAATATCAACCAATCAGATGATTTCTTTTACCCACATGACTTTGGTTTAAATCCGTTCGAATGCAACCGTCATCAAAACTACAACAAAAAACAATAACATTATTTTTTTTTCATTAAATTATTAAAATGATTGCGTTATTATTATTCGAAAATAAAACAAAAAAAACTCCATTTTAAAAAATATATACATGTATTTTATAATAATCGATCATAACAGGTAGGTAGGCATCTCTAAAATTATTCTTTTTTTTTTTTTCAAAAATTTTCTCTTCCATACATTAATATTACATAGGTTTATGCAATATTTTATCAAAATGGCGATGATCAAAATAAAATTAATAATTTTAAAAATATTATTAAATAACCTACAATCAATCACAATATCGAATTAAATATAATTTTTTTTTCAATAACCGTCATGAAAACATGTAATCATTATATTAATAAAAAAACAACAAAAACAAAAACAATGTCAAAAGTAATAATTATAACTTTTGTAAATCTTTTTTAAACTTTACAACAACAACAACAACAACCAAACAAACACATTATGTAT